AGAAATGTCGAGAAGCTGCTGAGACAAAAATTCGGTGATGCAAAAGCTAAGACACTACTTTCCAACGCTGTTTACATAATTAGCATTGGAAGCAATGATTATACATCTCCTTTCGTCACAAACTCTACCGTGCCTGTAAGCTTTTGGAAAGAATACGTGGCGATGGTGATAGGCAACCTGACTGCGAGCATCGAAGTAATTATATAGAGAATAATGGCACCATATCATTTTATTCTTCTACCTTAATTATCTTAAGATGACTATAAAACACGTTACTTTTTTCTTGTTTTAGGAAATATATAAAGTTGGAGGGAGGAAATTTGGGTTCATGAGTTTGGGACAACTTGGTTGTACCCCCGTCCTGAGGATACTCGTGCCTGGAAATTCAAGTTCCTGCCTTGAGGACGCTAATGCATTGGCAGAACTACACGATAAGGCTCTTTACACAGCTCTACAGGAGCTGCAGAGCAAACTGAAAGGATTTAAATATGCAAAACACAATATCTCTGTTTTCTTGAGTGAAAGCGTCAATGATCCTCTAAAATTTGGTACATCTAATTAACCTATTTTTTTTATTATTTATTTTTCTGCATAAAATTATATCAACAGCATTTATTCATGTGTTTCAAATTTTATGTTTTGAAGGTTTGAAGGAGGTCAATACTGCATGTTGTGGGAGTGGAAGATACGGAGGAATTTCCAGCTGTGGGGGGAAGAGGGGTGTGACAGAGTTTGAATTGTGTGAAGATCCTAATGAATATTTGTTCTTCGACTCTGGTCATTTCACTGATAAGGTGAACGGCCAAATTGCGGAGTTGATGTGGAGTGGGCATCCCAACGTCACGGGCCCTTGCAATCTTAAAGAGCTATTTTCTAACATCTAATTTGATTGAGCCTACATCTGCTTCAACCCAAGAGAAGAGGAGGATTTTAATTGCTCGATCATTATCTACTACAATAAGACAATGAATTGTGTGCATTTTGTAATATATTTTATATTCCACTTGGGATGTAAATTTAATACATATGTGTCGTTAAAATTGCTGAAGATTCAACCTTGTCTTCTTTCTTTCCTGGGATTTGTTTTCTGATCTGTGGTTAGGAGGGTGTTTGGTTATAAAATACTATTTATCTTTCATAAATTTAAAATTTTGTTAAAGATAAATAATAAAATTATTTTTAAGTAAATTTTAAATAAATTTTGAAAAAATTTTAATTTTAAAAAAAAGTTAATATATTAAATAAAAACGAAATTAATTAAGATAAGCTACCGGAGAGTCCGGTGCCATATCGAGAATCACCGAGGTAGCATGTTGGAGTCTACAACTAATTCTGCAACTACTGGAATTTGGAAAATTGGTTGAAGTCCAACAGTTGGTCTCACGTACCAGAAAATCAAGTGATGGTTGGACCAATATAAAGCAGGAAACCATATCATTAATGTCACTGAAACGCTTTATCATGTTCAAACGTACAATCTCAATCATGTCAAGTTCAGCAATTCACTTCCGTTTCCTGTTTGTTTTTGCCATTCTCGTTGCCCTTGCAAACTCCCAAACTGATAAACCCAATCGCAGGGTGCAGTCCAACAAAAAGGTTGCCATGTTTGTGTTTGGAGATTCACTTTTTGATCCTGGGAATAACAACTATGTCCCCTCCACTAATGCCAGGTCGAATTTCCCACCATATGGGGAGACATTTTTCCGTTATCCAACTGGAAGAGATTGCGATGGTCGCATTCTTCCTGATTTTGCAGGTAAACTAGCCAACTATATATGCATTTTCTTTAATTTTGCAATTAAATTAGTAATTGCTCTGTTTTCTTTTTGCAGCCGCGTGTGCAGGTTTACCATATTGGAGAGCTTACTTAGACCCCGAAAATCACAATTTCACAGTTGGAGCAAACTTTGCCAGTGCTGGAGCAGGTGCTCTGATTGAGACAAATAGCAATGCGGTATTTTATTTTTCTTAATCAAAACTCAGGCACTTAGAAAAGCAAGAATTTCACATTAATAGGCTTTGCTAGGGGTGGACCTTGTTGAAAAGAGTGTTTATTACTCTATTAGTTTTGAGAAAATTGAGTATATAGTTTTCAATATAAGGATTTCATTTGATTTAAAACTAATTAATGATACATGGAGTATATGTTTTTTTATTATATTTTCAATATAGGATATTTTCAAGAACAGAGGGAGGGGGTGCGAGTGGGGGTCACCTCCCTCAACTTTTGACAATTTATAAATTTAGTACATGTATTATTTTTTTACCTTTTAAAATTTTTAAACATTAGATTCGTCATGTAAAACTTTAAATTATTTTCATTTAACTCTTTATGATTTTTATAATTTTTCATACTTAAACGAATCAAGAAAAATATAATTTATAATATTTTTATTATAACCATCATTTCATTATAGAGAGAATATTAGAACTTAATTTAATATTTTATAAAAGATAAGAATATTATAACCTAAATAAATAAATTTCTTGTAAATGGAATAAATTAAGAATTGAGACTCTTAATTAAATCCAAGCTCAAAGATCTTCTCTCTTTAAAATTTTGAATTGTATTAGAATGTTATTTTTTAATTTTAGTTATTTATTTTAGAAAGTAATTTGATTAATGAAAATTTTTGTTAATAAAAATATTTAAGTCTTTATTTAGTTAATAATTTCAATTTTTTAAGTGCTGAATTAAATGTTTCATCTTTGATATTATTTACTTTTTGGGATGGA